AATAAAAATAATATATTTATTATAATTTCTAGGCCCCGCCTAGACCCCGCCTAGGCCCCGACTAGGCGCTAGGCGCTGGTCGGGCGCCTAGCGAGCGCTTAGCGACTTCTAGAATACTGGTTTTTATTGTGTTTCCTTTGTCTTGTTTGTGTATGTGTTTTGTTTTCTTCTCTTTTGGATGAGCGTGTTATTCTCCCGTGAGGAGTTAGTGTTATTTTTCTTTGGGGAGTTAGTGTCATTCTCCTGTGAGGAACTTTTATTTTTCTTTTTCGTGATGTAGTGTGTGTTGTGGCTTCTAGGCTGGCCTCCATGTGCAGCTCTTATTCCGGTTGTCCACCGACTGTAATTATGTGTTGTTTAGTTTAATGAATCTATCATTTCGGAAAAAAAAAGGTTGAGTGTATATTACATTTAATACAACAGAGAAACAGTAACTTTTATTCCAAAACCGCTAAAATAATTGAATATCATATACTACGTAGAAATTAAGCAGTATGGTAAGAGAAATAAAATAATAGATATATAAAATAAGAAAATGTTACGGATTCGTTACCATTTTGTTGGGATTTGTAACCGTTAGATCATCATGTAACCGTTGGGATAGTTGATCTAACGGTTACAAACTCCAACGGTATGACTCTATAACATGATCGTAGCATCTCCCTATATAATATAATTAACGATAATGTATAGTTAAAAAAATTAATAATAAAAAAAAGGTGGGCCCATTTGTGCTTGGGAAGGCCCAACTGAGGTTTCGGAAGAGGTCACACTGGTCCGAAACCCCAATCGAATTGGGCTTTGTAGAAAAAAACAATTTCTAAAAAGAAAAAGAAAAGGCACAACAGAATACAGAAAGGTGGAGAACGAATAATAGAATCCTAGACGCCTCTGGCCTCCCTCTACGATCCTCCGGCAGACGCAACCCTCTGCCGGCTCGACGAACCTTCTCTCACGGTGGAATCTCTCAAAGAACGAAGTGAATTCCGATTGCGGGCCTGATTTTAGTAGCTAAAAATTTGAAACGAAAGATGCTGAAATTATAATTTGGTCGGAGATTGATGGCGGCGGACTGGCAATGGGAGAACGCGGCCGCTGGATCCGCCGCTGGCCTCGCGACGGTCACCTTCACTCACCCACTCGACGTCGTGCGAACACGATTCCAAGGTCAATTTTCTTTTCTTTTTCTTTTTTTTTTCAACTTAATTTGTAAACAATGCCTTATATGAAATATTGTTTTGGTGGTTTTTTTTCCCCAATTTCGTTGGTTAGTTAACGACGGGAGATTGTCATCTCTGCCTACGTATAAGAACACTCCGCACGCTCTGTTCACCATTGCGCGCACCGAGGTTTGTGGTTTGGGATTATATGATTTTAAGGCACATTCATTTCTTATTATGGAGATACTGTAGCTTGCATTTGCTTTGGGTGAACCTGCTTTTTGTGCAGTTGCAAGCTGTATTGGCCTTGGAATCGTCTTCCGTTATTTATTGATCACTTTATTTCGATATATATGGTTATAAATTTTTTTATTTACAAAGTGACATTTTCACTTCAGGGTCTTAGAGGCCTATATGGTGGATTTTACCCGGCTGTTCTCGGATCAACTATATCGTGGGGTTTGTATTTCTACTTGTAAGCATCAATGTTGAGTTATGTCCAGTATGAGTTTGAAGTATGCTTATTGTAGGTTTGGGAAGTTATATTATCTTGTACTTGAGTGTCCATAATGGAAACTTGTATGAGCAACCTTTGTCATGCTATCATTTTCTTCAACAATCTCTGTAAAGTCTGCAAGCTATAATTCCAACCTTCAAGGTATCTAAAATTGTGGTCATTGTCTAATGGGTTACTATATGTTTTTAGGGAAATGTTGAAGACAATTTCCTTCTCTTTGTCGACTTTCGTAATTGACAGTATTTTGTCACTCTAATTAATGCCTTATGCTCTTCCGGACTGAAACTTACATATAAGAATAATTCTGAATGATTGAGTGAAATTTTTGCTTGGTTGTTGCCGGACATTCTTTGGCTACACCGAAAAGATGAGTCTTATAAGTTATAACCATGAAAGAAAGTACAGCTTGCTTATTTGTCTATTGATGCTTAACTTCGACAATCTTGATTTTAGCAGTCAGATTGAGCATTAGCTAGGTTGATCAGATATGATGCTATTCAGTTTTCGAGCATGCTTGACCAATCTATTTTAATTATAACCATGAACTTTTTATGCTTTTGTAGCTACAACAAAGCCAAGCAACGGTATTTGCAAACCAGAGAGGGGCTGAGCCCTGTTCTTCATCTTGCTTCAGCTGCTGAAGCTGGAGGCCTGGTCAGTATTTGTATTTCCCATCCTTCATCTTGCTTCCCACATTGAAAAGATTTATTGACATCTATGTCTGCTTTAAAACTCATGTATGATCTAGAGGGAGCTGCGAGCACTTCCAACTTTTAGTAGAGTCGATACACAGCTAGCTGTGGCAATAATAATAATAATAGTAATACAAATTAAAATAATTAAAGAAATAAATTAATAGTAATAAAATAACTTTTGTGTTATCCTGTTTAAGAATAAAACTAATAATAAGTCTATTATTGCATAGCCTTTTCATTTTCGAGAAACAAAAACGTTTCTGGATTCATCCAGAAAATAGCGAAGTGTCAAACTAAAGAAGTCGTATGAGCAGATTTTTTTAATATAAAATTTTCTCTTCCTTTGCCTTTCTTTATAATTTCAAAAACTTGTCAAAGCTGATCACTGGACATGGGAAAGATATATTCTATCGATAGTGGACGCTCTAGCTTAAATTTCTCAAGTTTAATTGCTTGGTAAGATTTAAGAGCAACGTAGATTTCTCCCTGCAGTATTTAACGAGGAAGAATTGCTCTGACATAATTCCATTTATGCAGTTTATGTATAAATTATTGTGTATCTTTTAACTTTGATTACAAGAAAATCTTTTGGGGGTCTTTCAGGTCTGCCTTTGCACCAATCCTATTTGGCTGGTGAAAACACGGTTGCAGCTTCAGACACCACGACAAGCTTATCGATATTCTGGTTTTCACGGTTAGCTCTGATCTTCAACCAACTGTTGTAAGTTGTTCCCTGTTGGTCCATTATATTGGTGCCTTAAGCAGTGCAAGGATAACTTCCTCATATTTAGAAGAATAGATATCAATCTGTGCCTTTCTTGTGTTATGGCGTAACTTATTTATGAAAAAATGCCAAAATTCAATACTATGCAACCAAAATGGCTTGGTCAGAATTTGAAAGGTTATGTATAGCACTCAAAACATTAATGCATCATGGTAACAAGCCTCAATGGGTTTTGACGTTTCATGTGAGAAGAAAACTCCACTCCATACTATGATTCAGCTGCTATTGGATCGTCATCTTTTGTCTATGACTTCACTTCTAAAGATTACATTGACCTCACTAATATACTGAGATACCAAAGTCTGAGAAGGCAAACGAAAAGAGAATATGCAATTCGCCAAGGAGGATGACAGTAGGAGGTGAATGATGGACTTCTCTCAGTTTTATGTTACTATAATGAATGATAGAACTTATCTCAGTTAAATAAATGGTTACTGAAATTGGTTTGACCACAGAGTATAAAAGAGCATGAAGCACAGCAGGATTACACCCAAATAAAAGATATGATATCACAACTGATTCTGTGTTCTACTTGGTTACCTACAAATCACAATGATCTTGGAATGAAAAATGTATCATACATTTTTATCCTTGAACATGTGGGTTGCTTCAACGTATGTTAAGAACTGATTTTTCACAAAGTACATATCCCAAAGGAATTAGGTTTGATGGTCAATTTCACTAGTCCTCTGGCCATAAAATTTTAAAGTTGACATCTCATTTGTTTCGGGATTCTTGTTCCCCCAGCAGACTTGTTGTTCTTTCTTTTGCTGAATTTGTTTTACGGGATCTTCCGGCTTATTCTGTGCCAGTAAGTTGAAGTTTAACTTTCACTATCGTCTTGTTTCAGATGCTCTTAGAACCATATTGAAAGAAGAGGGATGGAGGGCACTCTACAAAGGACTTGTTCCTGGTCTTTTTATGGTTAGTATATTTCCCTATTCTGCTGTATTTTTTCCCCCTTTTTGTCTTTGCTTATCATTTATATGGCTCATAGTAAGTGTAGTGCACTTCTTGGGCCTTATGCTTTCGACCCTCTTGTGGGCGACTTCCTGTGTAGCTAAAGACCAGTTGTGTTTCAGCAGGTTTCACATGGTGCTATCCAGTTTACAGCATATGAGGAACTTCGGAAGATGGTTATCAATTTTAGAACTGAGGAAAATGTACAAAATTCTAATGTAGCCGAAAATTTACTGGTAAGTTTTTATAAAGCGGTTACCATTTTGTTGTCTCAGAAAGCTTCTGTTTCATACGCTCAAGAATTGTATGTATACCTATTCTCCATTTTAACTCAATATGCAATTTTACGTAGAAAATTACATATTGAGTTAAAATAGAGACTCTCAAGCATGTGTACAATTCTTATCATATTATACATGGCATGTTATTTGGCTTATTGGTTGTTGGATTTCTCGATGCTCATTAAGGTATCAAATCCCAATAGTTTCTTGTGGGCTATCTCTATTTCGACAAAACCCTAATGATCTTGCTAATTGTTTACTACCATGCTTCTAGGCACTAAACCACTTCCTTTTGGGCCATCAAGAGTCGTAATCTGATATAATAGTGATTCTATATTGGCGTCTTCAACCTAATAATTGCATTCGAAAACTATTTGATTTCTCTGAATGCTGATATCTAATATGACCCACAATACATGAATGCTCAGGTCTGTCGAAGGATCTGCTTTATTTGTAAAGACATGAGGATTATGAAACGCCATTTTGTCTTGGCTTTGGTGCATAAAATATAGATTACTATTTGATTTCTCTTAATGCTGATATCTAATATGGCCCACAATACATGAATGCTCAGGTTCTGTCGAAGGATCTGCTTTATTTGTAAAGACATGAGGATTATGAAACGTCCATTTTGGCTTCGCTTTGGTGCATAAAATATAGATTCCCAGGCATTCATAATTTAAAATGGTGACGCCATGCAACGCCTCGAGGCGAGGCTAGGCGACCGAAGCGAGGGCCACATCGCCTGGCCACTGCCTGAGGCGACCCTGTTCGTGAGGCGCTTGCTTCAGGTCGCCTCGGCTCGCCTTTTCGCGTGGCGAGAGGCGCATGTGAGGTGCGCCTCGGCGCCTTTCAGAGAAATTAAAGGCGCAAAAGGCGCAGTCCATTTAAAAAAAGAAAAGAAAAGAAAAGTGTGTTCCACGTTTTGGAAAGAGAAAGAGAATAAATTAAAACAGATCGAGCTCTTTCCTCACTTCAACTCCCAGATCCACGAAGCAAAAAAAACCAGTGAAAAATCCCTAAATGGCTTCTCCCCGAACTAGAACTAAGGTTTGCGCGAGAACTCCCTAGGCTTCTCAGATTTGAAAGTTGCAGAAACCCACGGTCGACCCATCCCATTTCCGGCCTCCTCTAAACTTCGGCCACCATCTCGCCGCCGCCAAGACGGTCGGTGATGTGTGCCTTTTCCTTTCTTTTCCTTCTCCCATTTCTTTGTTTTCTCGTTCCTGTTTCTGCCGCCAATCTATTTATTCTTTCTTCATTTTTTATTTTATTTATGTTTATTAATATTGTCAATAGTCAAAGGTGACAGGGTGTAGCATCTTTTCTTCCGTTTTCTTTTCATTTCACTTTTTATTTACCTTATTACTAGTATTCACATTTAAGTTTTAGATGCTTTTAGTAATTACAAGTAAATTTAATTTGTGTTATTTTTTTAGGATATTTAATATTATTTTTGGCACTTAAATATATGATATTACTATATTCATACTATATATAATATATATATATATATATATATATTTTAAGCTTTGATGGCTTGTGTTCGTGGGGCCTCGCCATTTAAAACTATGCAGGCATTTGTGTCTACGGGATTTATTTAATTATACAGTATTAGATGCTTCTTCAAAATTGCGCATTATTCTGAGGCATTTTTGTCTACAGGATTCATTTGATTACGCAGTATTAGGTGCTTCTTCAAAATTAGTTGCTGTTCTTTTGACATACCCTTTTCAGGTAGGCACCTTTTGAAGATTGATTATCTGTACCAACATACATTCTTAATGGATTATACGAGAAACTGTCTTTCATGTTTGCTGATGTGTTTGGTGATTTCTACCAGGTTATTCGAGCTAGATTGCAGGTAAACAGGAACCAAGCCGTACTTTCTATTTCTCGTACCATGTGTTGTCAAACTTCGCTTTAACCACAGTGTACCATACCTTGCAAATAAATTAATAGGTTCTGAAGCTTTTTAAGTTTCTTTTCTTTGCAAATAGTAAATTAGTAACTATGATTATTTTGACTATAGCAACGACCGGAAATTCCAGGCATTCCAAGATATGTGGACAGCTTGCACGTTCTGAAGGAGACTGCACGGTAACTATCTTCATTCAACTTGTTTGCTATACATCAATTTCAGGAACGGAACCTCCATTCGTAGTCACAATTTTTACTTTGGCACACACTTGATATCTATTGTTAGAACCCAAAGTTTTACCTGAGAAAAGAGGTTCTTCTAGAAAACATGGGAAGCAAACTTCTAAGGGATGTGTAATTTGAGCGTTCTTTAGGTTTGTTTGCAACTGCCCCATACACCGATGGTAGTTTTTGTGACGAACCCATAACTATGCAGGAAAAGCATGTCATTTTTTAGTCGAGCTTCATCACACCATGACTTGCAACATTTTGATAAACTTTGTGTGTTTCCTCTTTGGCTCTCACAGGTTTGAGGGCATACGAAAATTCTATAAGGGTATCACAGCAAACGTGCTGAAAAATGCCCCAGCTGCTTCACTTACATTTATTGTGTATGAGAATGTGCTGAATATGTTGAAGCTCGCAGGGAAAAAAGATCTATGATCTACTTCATCTTGTTCTTTGCTTTCCTCTCTGATTCCAAATGCTTATAGTTCATATTCATTTATTAGTTATTATTATTGTTTTGGTAAGAGTCGATATTGTAAAATCGGCTTGTGCAGCTGCCTAGACCCTAGGTGCCCTAAGCTAAGACGATTTTGAGAAAATCGGCCAAGAAGTCTTTCAGCCTACCGGCCAACGCAGAGGTTGAAAATTGAAGTAGGTAGCCTATTCTAGTGGCCCTAGGAGGCGAAAAATTGGGAAGTAGGTTAAAAACTGAAAAAACAAAGGAATACAATGTTTTATGGGCAGTATAGATTAAAAGCTATGTGTGCTAGCAATTTCTGCTACCCGAGTTCATATGATGTTTAAGTATTTTGTCAACATGTAAATTGCAATTTAAAATGGTCATTTTTTTATTTTATTTTTTATTTTTATAACAAAAGAGCAAAAGCCTTGTTCGTTTAATTGCCCTGTGATTGTTTGCGTATATCTGCTTTTTTCTTGTGCATTTTAAATGAAATAGTCGAGCTGAATGCGTGCGCGAACAAATATATTTTGTTCGTGATTTAGGATTTTAGATTTATTCAACGGGGATAGCCTATTGAATTGAGCTCGAGTTGAGCTTTTTGCTTGATTGTGAAAAGTGTCGAGCCGCCTGCCTCGTTATTAAATGAGCATGACCTACACGGTTTAGGGTGCATCTAAACGACTTTGAGCTTGAGCAAAACCCTAAATAATTGTCAATTAGGGTGTAATTGGATATATTTTCAAATCTCATATATTTATTCATCAACCAAAAACGAGTTCACTAGGGGTGGGCTCGGTTCGGTTATTGTAATTTTTCTTAGGAACCGTTCGGTTTTTTTTTGTCTTCATATCGGTTCGGTTATGGTACTTTTGTTGGCAGGGACCGATTTAGAACCGAAAATCCAGTTTCGGTTCGGTTTTTACGGTTTTTATTGATAACCGATTTGTTATA